CCGATACTCGTAAATAAAAACTGTCTCTCTCAACCTAAAACCACCTTCTCTGCCCAATTCGTGCCAGATGCGACCGTATTCGTTAATAAGGGAAGTTTTTGGAGTCCATCCCCACCATATTCCGAATCTCCATTCCGCAATCCCTCGACTTGTCCAATTGACGTGAGCATTTAGCCAAAGCTTCTTCCCCTCGCCCTTTTTTTGTCATCTTCGCTGCCGATTTCGGAACCTCGCTGCCCATTTTTCTGATCCATAGATCATCGCCAATATCTGCCAACCTTCTCCATCCACGGGTAACTCCTTTTTACGTTAAGGTCACTGTTTATACACTATTTTTTACATGTAATTATAATTTTTCCCACCATTTTTCTCCTTGTAGGGTCTTGTTAATTTTACGATTTTAATGTTCAATGGATGGATTTAAAACTAATTGAACCGTTGATTTTGACAAAACTCAACATTATAGATGTTCATCAACTTAAGTGTGTGAAATTGACATAGTTTGCTGTTAATTGAGTTGTATTTTTTTGGAACAATTGAGGTGTAATTGAATATATCTTTTTTCGCATTTTCTAATTGATGAAGATTTAATAAAATGGGGTGAAATAAGTATTCTGTGCTGTAATTTGGCTGGGAATTCTGATACATTCCTCAAATTCACACGTTAAGCATAATAATCTGCCAATGATTATTTCATAATGTTTTGTCGCTGTTTTAGCATATTTCTTATCGTGTTGCTCTCCCGCTTGATTTGGAGTTTCGTGTGGTTCTGGTCCATTTTGAACGAATTTGATATTATTGTTGTTTTCAACTGAACTTGGTATAGTTGGCCATTGCACTGTGTTTGTAATGTTGGCTATTGCATTGTGCTTGTTCTTTATCTATGTATGTGGGCGTGAAAGGATGAGTTGAGCTTGAGTAAAGGTGATGATATGGAAGGAGAATAATGGATGTTTGGTTTCATGATTAATTTTGTTTAGAATATGAATAGGAGTTGTTTGGATGAATTGCTTGTTTAGTGAGAGGAATAGGTTATTCACGTCGAAACTAGGTTATTTGTGTTGGACTTTGAGAAAGGCATGAAGGAAAAATGTAAATTCAGCGTCTCCGTTAACAATGTTAACCGACACAATTTGATAGGCAATTTGAACCTAATTTTCAAATTCATGGGTTTATCCCTTGAAATCAATTAAATCCTAGGGGCCATTGTAACTTGTAAGGATCCCTTATACCAAAATTAAGCAAGATATGCCTGGTCGCGAAATCATCACGAGAATTTGGCCTCAGTGCATATGCTAGGAATAGGTGTAAGAAACATCTCAAAAGAATCAAGAGATATATAAAATTTGCAAAAGTAAGACTTTAAACATACTATGCACAAAGCTAACAATTGGAGCAATTTTAAAAATACGCACAGTATAAAACCCAGAAATGGGCTTACAATTAAAAGAAAGATTTAAGGTGCACTTTCATAACTGTCACTCATATTTATCATAATTGATTCTTCCCTCCATGGATCCCAAAATCAGCTTGGTTAGAGGCTAACATATAGTTGGCCACGTGACCAATAATAATCCGATTTGAAAATGTTGTAGCTCAGCTAGAAGTTGTCTGACATATCAAGAAAAAGTTACTCCAGGGGGAGGCGAGATTCAGCCATTGCTTGTAGGATAAAGGAAATCGAGAAAAAATTCATTTTGCAACTTTCTAATTTTGCCACAAGTGCTTCTATTGACCATTTATAGTTCTAATTGTGTGTTTGGTAAGATGAATGAAAAAAATGAAAGAAAAGAAAGTAAGAGTGATAAATTTTCTATCTTTGAAGAAAAAACCTTCCTTCAATCTCCACAAAGGAGGGATGACAAAGGGGAGGAATTTATTTTTTATATTTAGTATGGATAAAAAAGTTGAAATAAAGATAAATTACACATGCATTTTTGTCATTATATCTTCATATGTAAGTAGCATATACATCTAGATATAATTGTGTGTTTAGTTAGATGAATAGAAAAATGAAAGAAAAAGTGAGAGGGATAAACTTTTTTATCTTTGAAGGAAATAAATNTTTGTCATTATATCTTCATATGTAAGTAGCATATACATCTAGATATAATTGTGTGTTAGTTAGATGAATAGAAAAATGAAAGAAAAAGTGAGAGGGATAAACTTTTTTATCTTTGAAGGAAATAAACCTTCCTTCAATTCTTCTTTGTGTTTAGTAGGAGGGATAGAAAGGGAGAATTATTTATTTTTTATATTTGGTATGGATAAAAAAGTTGAAATCTATAAAATAAAATACATATCAACTTGAATTTTTATCCCTTACATATTTTTTTCCCTAAAAATATTACATCACTCATTTTTATCATATGTTCAATCGTTTAATATTTAATTAATTTATAATTTAACATAATTTTTATTTAAAACATTACCCATATACGATAGTATACACATATTTAAAAAAATTTAATATATTGAAATTAATTTTTTGGGTGCTCAAATTTTATGTTCTATCGTGCCTTTAAACACAGGTTATGACTAGTAAAGATAAACTAAACATGCATTTTTATAATATATATTATAAAAACATAAGAAAATATTTCATCTACACCTCCTCTAATTAGGTCTAAGTTCAATGACACCCTCTCTTGATTTTGAAACTTTATTGGTTTATACTTTCAAAACAAAAACACGCCCTTAATGGTTATTTTTAACTTTGTCAGTACAAAAAGTAACGGTTTAACTATAAATTTTCTGAAAAATGTCAAAACTACTATTCTTTATATAAATATACTAAAATGCTCTCAATCATTTTCCCACTATATATACCATATCCTTTGTTGTTGTTGAAGGTAAAAAATGACCGGGTGCTGCTGGAAGACCTAGAGGATTGAAGCTAACCATTTTTTTTCAACTTGTTTTCTACAGTGATCGATTATTACATAAGTTGGCAAAAAAAAAAAAAATTTATTTTTTTCTTACAGATTTGTAAATGTTTTTTCATACAGATTTTTTAAAATTTTTTCATAAATTTTAAATTTTTTTTTTTCATGTAGATATTTTTAATTTTTTCATGCAATTTTTTAAAATTATTTTCATGTAGTTTTTTTTAAAATTTTTTTATGCAGATATTTTAAATTTTTTCATGTAGATTTTTAAATTTTTTTCATGCAATTTTTTTTTTAATTTTGTTCATGCACATTTTTTTAAANGAAAAATGTCAAAACTACTATTCTTTATATAAATATACTAAAATGCTCTCAATCATTTTCCCACTATATATACCATATCCTTTGTTGTTGTTGAAGGTGAAAAAATGACCGGGTGCTGCTGGAAGACCTAGAGGATTGAAGCTAACCATTTTTTTTCAACTTGTTTTCTACAGTGATCGATTATTACATAAGTTGGCAAAAAAAAAAAAAATTATTTTTTTCTTACAGATTTGTAAATGTTTTTTCATACAGATTTTTTAAAATTTTTTCATAAATTTTTAAATTTTTTTTTTCATGTAGATATTTTTAATTTTTTCATGCAATTTTTTAAAATTATTTTCATGTAGTTTTTTTAAAAAATTTTTCATGTAGATTTTTAAATTTTTTTCATGCAATTTTTTTTTTAATTTTGTTCATGCACATTTTTTTTTTNAAAAAATTTTTCATGTAGATTTTTAAATTTTTTTCATGCAATTTTTTTTTTAATTTTGTTCATGCACATTTTTTTAAAAATTTTTTTCTTCTATTTTGTTATGTCAATATGTTGCGATGTGTTATTATAGGATTGATGTCTTCTTCAACTGTTAGTGGAGACAGAGACAGAGATTAATATTTATTTCAAAATCTCATACATTTCTAACTTATCTGCTATCGTCTGTCTTTCACAACGTTACTTGACCACTTTTCACACATCATCCTTCATATATAAAATTTAAATATTATTTGATAAAATTTATAACAATTGAATCAATTTTGTCTTAATTTGATAAATTTAAATATTAATTTGGTGTTAATTTGATATTTATATTTAGTGTTGATTTTATAAAATATAATATTAGTTGAATAAATTTAAATGTTGCTTTAATGAAATTGAATGTTCATTTGATGTTAAATTAAATAATTGATATTAATTTGATAAGGGTAACTGTTAAATTAATAGAATTTAATATGCTATTTAATATATTAAAATTTAATTTAATAAAATTAAATGTCAATTTAGTGTTGATTTGATGAAATTAAATAATAATTTAATGTTAAATTAAAAAAATAATATTAATTTGATGAAATAAAATATTAACTTAACATAACTAAATGTTAATTTGATAAAGTTAAATATCAATTTGTGTTGATTAGATGAGATGAAATGTTAATTTAGTTTAAATTAAATAAATGACATTAATTTGATAAAATTAAATATTAAATTGATGAACCTAAATGTTAATATAATAAAACTAAAAGAGAGTGCAATAAAATTTCAGAATTGAGAGGAAGTATTGTTAAATATAGCTTTATTTATAGGGTGGTGTCGTTGAAGTTATGTCTATTTACAAAGGGTATGAGTAAAATTTATCCTATAAAATATTTATGGGTATTTCTGTAAATTAACAATTGCCGTTAATGTCGTAACCTAACAAAATACTGACAAGGGTTGACAATAAAATTTTAGAATCGATAGGGGATGTTATTTAATTTAGACTTAATTACCGGGGGTGTGGATAAAATTTTTCCAAACATAAATAACTACATTTCAACACATAATTAACTTTCTTTTCACTTTTTTGTCAAGTTTTGGAGGAATAGATTTTGCTGAGATGGTAGGAAGACTGATCTTTCTCTTTTCCATCTGAACCATAAGTCCCGCCTTCCCATTCCTTATTCTCTTTTTCTCACTCAACTCCCTACCATAGAAGAAAGAACTAAACTGAAAGGAAAATATTAGGAGAAAAAGGTGGGAAGCCATGCCCATATAGATAATTATCTGGGTTCTGGCCCAATTGTCTTGTTCATCCAAACTTCAACCTTTGTTATGTTTACCATAGAGTCAAACACCCTTTAAAATGGAGGAAAATAAGATTCCCGAAAGAAAATTTGTGATTTAGCTTATAGCTAAATTAAAGACAGAAAAAACATGAATAATCCCACTAAAACACCTTTTTTCCCTGCTTTTTCTACGGGTCAACATCCAATTGCAGACAAATGTTCAAACAACAACCTTAAAACATCTGATGAGTTTCAAATTAAGTGGGTTAAAAAAATAACCTAACAAGGTCCAACATTGAGTTCCGTCATATTTTGTCCTTAATCACCTCAACCACTTCCTAAGGTCACTGGTTGAAGAAGGAGATACCTCACCACCAAGGCTTTCCGTACAGCAAGAAGAATAGTTGGACTGTTGTTCCATCCCCATAGGGACACCACCGAGGCTCTTAAAGCTTGGGCTCCTCAAATTGTGCCCATAACTTCCATAACCTCCATAACCAATTCCTACATTGTAAGGCTCTGGAACTGGGAATGATAAACGTTTTTTTGCTGATCCATTTTGTTCCCTTTCTGGAGTTGATGGCCTTTGTCTTGGTGCACTTTGAGAGCGGATTCTAGCCTTGGCAGACTCAGTTGCAGCCATGTAGTTGGGCATCGCACCATAATCACCAGCCCCACTAGTTGTACCCCTTGTATGTTGATGCAATCCTCCATTATAGTAGTCTGTAGACTTTAAACTTGGTGTTTGAGCCGTGTGATAGTTCCTTTCTTCTCTTGGATAAAGGGGACTTGCAGAACGGACTTGAAGGGGCCTTGTTTTGGATGGAGAGGGTGTAACAGGAGAGTAGTGGAGGGGTTGGTTTTGGTGGACTCTATGCAGAGGAGAGTTGGGTCTTTGGTGTTGATTGGATCTTCGCAAATTGGTAGCTAAGTATGAATAAGGTTGTGAGGTGTCAATTTCGACGGTTTTTATAGGGTCTCTTTGATCAGTTGAAGCTCTTCCCCTGCTCTCCCATTGCTTGGCAGCCATCCATCTGTCGAGCCATTGGTGTTTTTCTCCAAGCTCTTCTTCACTGCCCAATGATGGATTCCGTCCTGTTCTCCTTGCCTTTCTCATGGAATTCCAACATATTACACCAATTAACATTTAAGCTGAAGAAAACAAAAAACAGCTGAAATTGCTTGCTAAGGTCTCATGGATGATACTGATTGTTCTATTGAGGAAGGAGGGTCCGGTATTAACGGGATTGATGGTTGGGATAAGGCAGCTTATGTCCTAGTTGCCAGCATCTATGGGACCTAAATCAACCTCCTTCAGAATCAACATGGGGCATGGGTGACTACTAATCACTTGATAGGAAGAAGTTTTTGGGATGTGAAGTCTCCACAGAATAGCATTGTATTGAAGGGAAAAATACCATTGTTACTGTGAGAGGAAAGAATTACAACTGAAACTTAGAGGTGAAATTATGCCATTTACTAATCTGCTGGTTTTGGAAATCAAACTTTTTTTTAGAACTCCAATAAAACTCTATTTTAGAGAGTATCTTTTCAAAAATAGAGAGCATTTTTGATAAAAAAAAATTAAAATCGAAAGTGAAATTTTATACCAACTCCAGTAGGGCTTTCTATTCTAGATTCAAATCTCTAGGATTTAATGAAAAAGTTCAAAGATTTTTTTAATTAAAATAATGGGATAGAGAGTGAGTTTGATTCTCCAAATGTGGAGAGTTAAATTGGGCTCTTTATTTTAGAAAGTCTATTAGAGATTTATTTTTTATATTTGACTCTAACATAGAGAACCGCTTGGGAATATAGAGCCTATTAGAGATAGTCTTAGGTCCTCTTATCCCGGTATGCATGAGAGTCATTTATTACTCGGGACTTCCCACAAATACAACTGTGAGCATTGTAAAGGGTCTCAGTGGTTATGGTCTAGCTTTAGGTATCATACTTTACAGAAGCTTCAGAATAATATCCATTTAGACTTATATGCCAATGTTGAAAGAGCTGATGTGATGATATGGACACCCTTCCTAATGGAATATCCAATGCACATGCTTCCTGGAATTCCCTTAGAAAAAGACAAGTAATTTGGTTTATTGGAGTTCTGCAGTTACCTAAAAATGATTTGCATGGTCAATTTCCTTATCTGGTTAGCTGTAAGAACCCTACATCAAAGGGAAAGCCCTAGGCTACACTACAAACAAATCCTCCCACAACCGAGAGGATAGGGACAAGCCTCAACAACACCTTCTAAATACTAAGGAGGAGCCTTTAACTTCTCTTGAAGACCCTTAATACTAAGGCAAAGTTAATAATGACTGATNCTACACTACAAACAAATCCTCCCACAACCGAGAGGATAGGGACAAGCCTCAACAACATCTTCTAAATACTAAGGAGGAGCCTTTAACTTCTCTTGAAGACCCTTAATACTAAGGCAAAGTTAATAATGACTGAGTGTTACCGGAGCTTTCAGTGAGCAAGTGAAATGCAGTGTTGCAAGTCTGTGAAAGTATCTTTTCATAAGTCTTTATGTGAGGGTTCATTATAAATAAACTTTAAAGTATGTGAATTGTTTTGCTATAGTAGTGCAGGGTATGTGCGCAATGTGTTTAGAATAAAGGTTAACCATGCTATTGTATTGTTTATTTGATTTGGTTTGGCTTCTCTGTTTTACACCAAGCGGTTTGGTTGTTAGAATGCTGAGAGTTGACCCTGAATATTATATGTCATTGTACATATATACATGCAAGAAATAGAACAGAATGAACCTGTTGAGAGAAAGCATGAGACAAGGTTCTTTCACGCATCAAAGCAGCTTCCTTTCTATTTTGCAGCATTGCTTTCACCTCCTCAATTGTGTGTGGCCGCTCATCCCAGTCATTCAGAATGCTACTTCCAGCTCTTGACTGTGATACACCAGTCCAATTGCAATAGATAAGAATCTAAAACTTGGAAATGAGGATAATTAGTTTGTTATGCTAATTTTTTTTTTTTTTGGTGTTGCAAAAAAAGAAAAAGAAAGAAAGAATGAGGATAAGAAACTAATTATATGGTGAGCATAAGTAACCAATTATGTGAAGAACACTTACCATCGACTTTCTGTCAGAAAGATCTTGAAGACACTGTGATCCCCACAAGCTATTGGTGTCACTAAATGTTGATTTTCTACTGCTTTCGTCTGATTGTTTCATGCGTTGATCAAGTACTCGTGCTTGAACTCGTACTAGAGCTTGCATGCATCGAAGGGTCATCTTTGCTTGCTTTCGAACATTGTGACCTCTTACCAAAGCTTGCAACTTCACAAGACCCTTCAGCGCATGAAGAGCTCTCCTTGCCTGCATAAACAACCCAAGTGAATTGATTCAGATATCTTCCCTTTGCGAGAATACTTGAGTCAAAACAATGACTGGGGCGTCATTTGGTTAGTATTCACAAAGTAGTTGAATTTTACATATCTTTTGATACGCCAATGTTAGGGTTTATCTCGTAGTTTTAAGCACAATCATCATTACATAATGGTATTGGGTCCCATTAGAGGTCGATATAATTGTTAAAAAACATTCACAACTGTGACAGTATTTGCGGTACCACAATGGCTCTGTAATAGGAAGCACATACCTGTTGAGTGTTTGGGTATAAAAGAGAAAACAAAAATCTCTTTTACTTTTCAATAGCAAACCCATCCTTTACATCACAGCTGAATATCTTTTCCATATTGAGGTTGATGCCTATAAAGTAGTGAGCCTTGAGTGTTTCTTTATGTTACAGACTTGAAAAATTAGATAAAGTTCATAAAAAATCCTGTATTGATAATTTGATACCACAAAATTCCTTGCAAATCACTAGTAATTAATTGTAAGGCTTTGAACGTGATATACGGACAAACTATTAAGTTTTGGAAGGAAACTTTTGCCTTCTGCTTTTCCATTTTGTTATTTAACCACCGTTTCTGTTGGTGTTAAAATTACGTTTAACACCATGCCCAGCCAGCGTACACAAACATTTGTTGGATTTCAATCCAGAAAAACACGACATGAGTTGTAGTACCTTTAAAACGTTAACTAATTACCAGATCTCAGATCTCACTCACCAAATATCCTCTGAAAGCTGTTTGAATAACAATGGCTGCACGGTGTTCTCTGGCATAATTAGAAGGCACTGGCCGAGCGAGCCGGGCAACTTCCATGGCCGCTTGGGCGCTGGCAACTGCTGCCTCAGCAGCTACTGCGCTCGCCACTGCCACTGCAATTGCATGCCTTTGCTCTGCAGCTGCCAGGGCTGCTCCTGAAATACCTCCGGCCGTTGCCGCACCACCACAGGCGTCAGCATTCGTCCTTTTTGGTGGGGTGTGATGATTCACAGTCGCATGGCTTGTGGGCTTCCGGAAAAGCCATCTTCGTTTCTCTCTCTTCTGCGTAAACCCCCAAAAGAACAAGCAACATTATTTCCCATGTGTTCCTTAAGAGAGAACAAACTTGAGGATTTTAGTCATGAAAAGGTACCTTTTCTTCTTCTTCCTCTTGTTCATCTTGGCTGTGCTCTTTTGTCGTTCTGGGACTCCTCTTTTCAAGGTCTTTAGTAGGAGATCTGAAAGCCCTTTTGACAGCAGTCAACCACGAGGATCCTCCTTTCTTCCCCATAGAAAGATGTAGAAGAACCAAGCTGCATTTACTGCTAAAATTCTGGTAAAGGGGCCGCGGAGAAAGATCAGGACTGCGTGGAGTACGAATGATGAGAGGAAATTTCTGTTTTCTTCAACTAACAGTCTAGCCGCTAGCACTTTTATGTGTAAGCTTTTGAGCTGATGAATATATGCAATGAGTGCAATAAGAGAGAGCGTTCCAAATGTGCTGGCTGCTGGTTTTGGTGAAAAGAGCTGGTGCTTTTTTTTTTTTTCTTCTGGGGCATGGACAGTAATGGTGGTGGGGGGTGTCAGAGAGAGAGTGTGGGTCAGCAGCTTTGAACACAATTATTTAGAAGTGAATGTGAGAAACAGTGAGGGGAGAGTGACTGTACTGTGTCTGATATCGATGAGAGCACATTGAAAGCTGTGAGTTAGTGAGAGAGACGAAAGCACGTTGAGGAGGGTTGCAGCACAGGAATCAAAAGTGTCTTTAATGGCGTGTTGAGTTTTGAAGCCCTTTACTTTATTATATAAATGTTGAGGTTTCCTTCCCACACACCCACTAAAACTACGTGTACAAAGTTCTCACTTTCACAAAGAAAAGAAAAAACTATTGATCCCCTCTCATGGCGTCACGTGTTACAACCAGCCAAGGGTGTGGCATTGGGTTATCAATCTCTGTATGAGAGAGAGAGAATGGGTAAAAGAAGCAGATTCACAAGCCTGGTTTACGGGGTCATCTTGGAACTTAATTAATAAAAGGGAAAGCTTGAAGAGGACAAGTGGGTGGGTGTGGCTATGCCTATATTATAGATATAGGAAGACCAGTCAAACTGCTCAAATTGCTTCGGTCTGATTACATGAACGGGTTATGCTGAGCTCATCCCCCATAAGCCAAGCGAACCAACCGAAGATACGTTTACAGGCAATTGCATAAAAATAGAAAAGCCCGTAGAGGGAGAACAAGCTCAGTCACAATACATTTTTATTTTTAGGGGTTTTCACCTGTATCAAGAGGTGTGACGCACGTCTCACTCGTTGATGATTAAAATCACCAACTAATAAGAATCATTCTACTCAATACTCCTATCCTTTGGGGATTAATTACCTGAATTTTATCTTTTCATTGTGCTTAACCAAGGATTAGATTTTTTCTTGTTGCAAGTTTTTTTTGGTGTATCTTTTATCTCTCGCATTATCATTTTCATGTATGAAATGCTCTTCATCACTTGTGTACTACTAGGGGTCTTGTACGTTAAAGAAATTTATTTAATATTAAGTCAATTTTGATTTTCATTGTCTAAAATACTTTCATTTGTTCNTCATTGTGCTTAACCAAGGATTAGATTTTTTCTTGTTGCAAGTTTTTTTTGGTGTATTTTTTATCTCTCGCATTATCATTTTCATGTATGAAATACTCTTCATCACTTGTGTACTACTAAGGGGTCTTGTACGTTAAAGAAATTTATTTAATATTAAGTCCATTTTGATTTTCATTGTGTAAAATACTTTCATTTGTTATATTTAATTACAACAAATTTAAAAATTAACAATTCCTAAATTTTAGAAATTTGATTGATATTAAAATTATATATATATAGTAGCACTAAAAAAAAAATAGTGGCATTCGGTGGTGGGTGTAATAAGGATAGTGGTGGTCGGGCGGTAGTGGGGTGGCAACGGTGGTGGTGGTATGGTGACGATAATGATGGTGGTGGTAAGAGNATAGTAGCACTAAAAAAAAAATAGTGGCATTCGGTGGTGGGTGTAATAAGGATAGTGATGGTCGAGCGGTAGTGGGGTGGCAACGGTGGTGGTGGTATGGTGACGACAACGATGGTGGTTGTAAGAGACAGGGGGTGGTGGTAGTGATGATGGTGATGGTGGTGGGGTGGTAACATTGGTGGTGGTGGTGGTGGGGTGGCGACAATGGAGGTGATAGTGGTAGTGGTGATGATGGTGGGGTGGTAGTTTGGTGGTGGGGTAGGGTGGCGGTGGTGGTGGTAATGGTAATGGTGGTGGGGGTGGCGGTGGTAGTGGTAGTGGTAGTGTTGGTGGTGGAGTGGTTCTATATATTAATTTTTTTTATGAGAAATTATAAGTATTAAAAACACTTTTAAAAAGTCACCTCAAACATACCATCAGGAGCCTATTTTCTCTATTAAATTTAGAGTGTTAATATTAGCGCTCGAATTAAATTTAAAGTAAAATTGAAAGAGATCTTAACCACGAATAATATAAGTTATTTTGTTTATCTTTTGAGATTTGAATTGTATTGTATTTTATTATATAAACTAGTTATTGCCCTNAACACACCATCAGGAGCCTATTTTCTCTATTAAATTTAGAGTGTTAATATTAGCGCTCGAATTAAATTTAAAGTAAAATTGAAAGAGATCTTAACCACGAATAATATAAGTCATTTTGTTTATCTTTTGAGATTTGAATTGTATTGTATTTTATTATATAAATTAGTTATTGCCCGTGCCTGAAGGTACTGTATAACGAAAAAAAATCAACTAATAAAAATGAACATTAGCAAGATAAAAAGGCGGTGCATATAATGATAACAATAAATATCTAAAGCCAATGAATATATAAAAATGTACAAAATTACCTCTAAAAGCATAACTCAAAAAATTTAAACATATACACAGTCATCGTATCTTAAACAACTATTATTCATTACATATTATTAATTTTCCCATAGTAGTAAAAAAAATTAATTAAGATGCATATCAAATAAAAAGAACACTTTTTGATATCAAATAACCACTCTCCATATGGTTAAAGTGCAAATCCTCATTTTCAATCAACTTGATCTGACATATAACTATTATTTTTCAAATACAAATGCACCCTATAGAAGTGGGTATAAAAGAAATTATGAAGCATCAAAGCATTCAAGAGGCTGTCTAAATAATTGCTCGAAAGTAACGTTGGTTCTTTAAATAACTTGAATTCCAATAAGTTCCGGGCATTGAAAGTGTACCAAACAAACTATTGAAGCACTATTACATTTGAAGTTATTAAAACTATTGAAGCACTATTTCAATTTATGCACTTAGAAAAATATAGGCCACGTACATAACCAAAAAAATAGACATTAGCATGAGAAAAATGACTAACTTAATGCATTTTGGAGATTTAGTTTCCATGAAAAAATTCAAATGCACAAAAGAAACAATTCAAAAGATAAGTCATATAATAGTACAAATAAATGATATATGCAAAAATAGCAACATATCAAGAACAAAAAGTAAAAAATAGGCCCATATCCTAATTTTTGTGATCTAAAATACTCATTTAAACTCAAACATAACTTGAAGCCCAAAAGACCCAAGTTTATAGTGCACTAAATGGTTGTCTTCTAGTTTAAAGTCAAAAAAGAGAAGGAGCAAACTAAAAGTCAAGGCTATAAACACAATTTCATAAAATATTAGGCAAGGATAACAATCAAGGCTATAAACCCTCTACACCACCCCTTACATGACCAAAGAGCAAACAAATGTACTAAATAATNTAGTTTCCATGAAAAAATTCAAATGCACAAAAGAAACAATTCAAAAGATAAGTCATATAATAGTACAAATAAATGATATATGCAAAAATAGCAACATATCAAGAACAAAAAGTAAAAAATAGGCCCATATCCTAATTTTTGTGATCTAAAATACTCATTTAAACTCAAACATAACTAGAAGCCCAAAAGACCCAAGTTTATAGTGCACTAAATGGTTGTCTTCTAGTTTAAAGTCAAAAAAGAGAATGAGCAAACTAAAAGTCAAGGCTATAAACACAATTTCATAAAATATTAGGCAAGAATAACAATCAAGGCTATAAACCCTCTACACCACCCCTTACATGACCAAAGAGCAAACAAATGTACTAAATAACTTTTCACTTGCCTCAATCCTTCAATTACACATGAAATAGTTCAAACCCACTTCTAAAAAGCTGAAAAACATTACATTAGAGGCCATTAAAATAACTAAAATTATTCAAATCACAGTCCTATTCAATCTTCAAAATCTTTAGAGGATCTAGTAATGAAATAAAAATCCTCATGTCAAGGAAGCCCCTTAATATTTGCATCAAATCAAATAAAATCAAAAAATTGACATCAAGTCGCATTCAATTCTCCTCAATATTGCATCCCATCAAATTCCCAACAAAATAACAAAACCTTCTCAAAATTCGCATTAGGTCACTATAATTTGCAAACAAAACTAAGATTAAGGAATTCAATCCCCAAAATTACATACAAAAGTGAGGAATATTAATTAAATATAAATTATAAACTACACAACTAAAGTCATCTCTGTTAAGAAAATGAATAGGCGAAATGAACTCAATTACAATTAATTTACTCCAAAACCAATCTACAAGGAATACATAAAAACAACGGTGTAATGAACTCAAGTCGCAACGATTCACAAATATAAAGTGGTGGATGTGGTTTGATTTGGTCGAATAACTATCAATAATATTACCACCATAATGGGTAGTAGACATAGAAAAACTACCATGTCGATTATAGTTTAAACCATACATAATGGAACATAGCTAGTAAACTTACCATTCGCAAAACATGGTCGCAAGGCAACAGGTAGCGAATAAAACGCACCTTTCTCAAGTCGCCGTTAACATTCTACTTTTTGGTTCTCTGGCGTAGAAGTATGTTCTATACTCTTCTGCTATGTCCATTTGGTGAATAATGTGGGCAACTCATGCAAATGGTATTATCTGTTTATTGAATTTGGATCGAAAAAGTTTGATTTAAAAAGGTTTATTTAATTATTTGATACATTTTTATTTCTATAATTATGTGTGACAATAAGCCCATAAGAGGACATAGTCTTGAAACAAACTAAGACAGACCAATTAGATTAGAGTTATTAGACCAAATTAATCATTTTTGTTGCAAATAATCAAAGATCAACCATGAAACTACTTTAATTAAGTAACATCAGCCAACTATTGAACCAACACAAGCATCAACCAATTAAAAGATTTAACACCACCAGAGAAAATCCTATAGAGAGATTCATTCCACGTTAGTAAGATTAANTGTTGCAAATAATCAAAGATCAACCATGAAACTACTTTAATTAAGTAACATCAGCCAACTATTGAACCAACACAAGCATCAACCAATTAAAAGATTTAACACCACTAGAGAAAATCCTATAGAGAGATTCATTCCAAGTTAGTAAGATTCAAAAAAAAAAAAGAAGAAGAAAACAAAGAAGCAAGGATGCCACTAGACATATCGAGAAGGGTAAACAAATTACCTTATCAAGTAAATATCAAATTCACATTTAAATTTATCAAAACACCATTCAATATTAATCAATTCCAGTAAGATTTCATCAAATTAACCTAATTCCAAAATCCTGAAAACCCAATAAATTAACAACAAAGCACACACATGGTGCTACAAGCATGGGGGTTAGGGGGATGGGTTGCAAGCAGAGAAAGAGAGAGACCGAGTGTCTTGGCTGAGTTCGAGGCTTCGAGTGGCTAAGAGAGAGATTAATTTGAGTTAGGGCTAAAATGGGAGGCAATTTGAAATCCTTCGTTGATTTAGGGCTAAAATTGGAGCAAATTAAAATCCATCGATTTGGAATGGAGAGAGAGAAGAGAAGACTTACATCCATTTGGAATGCATCGCCTGCCTTGCGTGATGTCGTTGGAGCTCAAAGAGAGAGAGAGAGAGAGAGAGAGAGCAGAAGAGTACTTTATGAGGTAANTTTGAAATCCTTCGTTGATTTAGGGCTAAAATTGGAGCAAATTAAAATCCATCGATTTGGAATGGAGAGAGAGAAGAGAAGACTTACATCGATTTGGAATGCATCGCCTGCCTTGCGTGATGTCGTTGGAGCTCAAAGAGAGAGAGAGAGAGAGAGCAGAAGAGTACTTTATGAGGTAAAGTCGAACTGTTTGAGACACAATTGAAGTCGTTGGAGACTTTGGAGCTGCTTGAGATAGACTCGAAAGAGTGTTCAAGTGAATTTGAACAGAGAGTGAATCTCATGAGAGATGAGAGAGAAGGATATCGCCGGATAAAGTGAACAGATCTAAACGTGAGAGAGAGGAGTTCTGGAGAGAGAGAGAGTCTGGAGAGGAGTTCGCCGGAGAGAAAGAGAGAGAGTTATGGGGTGGAGTTTTTTTTTTTTGGTCAGGAGTTCTGGAGAGTTGAGAGGATATTAATTTAAGTGTGTGTGAGAGAACGGGTAAGTGTGTGATGAAGAGATTGGGTGGAGATCTCAAAATTGTTAGGTTAATATCAACCCTTAGATCAAATTTAGACAAATTTAAAAACGATCTGAACCGCAAAAAATAAAAATTATTATGTTTATTTATTGAAATTTAAATTATAAACTACTTTATTATATAGATATATAGTGGGTGTTTAGTCAACAGCCTGTTACTTTCTACGGTATTTGTTTGTGTTTTGCTTTTAGGGCTCGATTAGAAGTTCATAGCTCTTCCCTATACGTCTTATGTAGCATCAAGCATGGCCTGAATTTACGCAGCTGGAGGTAAAACCCAAGTGATGTGTTATGGTTGTCCACTAGCTAACGTCAAAAAAAGGAGGAAATATATGTGATGGTTGGTGCTACTTCTTGGGTCCAGAGACCAATCATTTCTTAGAGGATACGGTCATAACATCAGTGGTAATCATCTTACACAGAAAATCAAATTAGATGCACCCATTCTTGTATTGCCATCGATTGTGAGATTGACTCCAATTTCGATCTACCGGTCATCCAACGCAGTTTCCTAACCCAAAACAAAATCAACCAGTGTGTTGTCGTTGAATGGAAGCGATAAGTTTGTTTCACAAGTCAAGTCTTTATTTTGACTCTCGAATTTAATCGATAATTTTGGATAGTGAGTGATTATCATTTATATCCAGATTTTATCCAATTATAACTTTGTCTTAGTGAGGATACTCCCCAAAAAAGAAAAAAAAAATTGTTTCATAGATTTGATTTTTTCTCTTTGCGCACAGCAAATGGTGATGGATGGAAATTACCTAGCAACTTCTAGACATGGCCCAATCAAAAATGTTTTGATGTTTATAGTCTCCAAGTTACAATACACAATCTCTCTCTCTCTCTCTATCTGTGATTGTGTGGTGCAAAAGACCAATCATGTTGTGTGGGGCCCGTCTTCAGGACCATTTTAGCTGTTAAGGCCTGGGATCACCACACGTTGAGCAAATGAAAGAAGAAAGAAGAAAATAATTCCATGTTGAAAGAATTTATCTAAATTGTATCCATCTAGCTAACTGCTGGCCAGTGAATCAGGAAGCAACGGAAAAAAAAAATAAATTAGGAAGACACATTCATTAACNCCAATCATGTTGTGTGGGGCCCGTCTTCAGGACCATTTTAGCTGTTAAGGCCTGGGAGCACCACACGTTGAGCAAATGAAAGAAGAAAGAAGAAAATAATTCCATGTTGAAAGAATTTATCTAAACTGTATCCATCTAGCTAGCTGCTTGCCAGTGAATCAGGAAGCAACGGAAAAAAAAATAAAATTAGGAAGACACGTTCATTAACAAAGAAGATATAAGGATTTGACAATGCCATTGCCACCCACCCCCAGCCCATCAAGTCCATGTAATATTACTCTTCCTATTATTCAATCTAATAAAATTATAGCGTGTTTATAATCACATAATTTCCACATTAATTATGATATGCCATAATGACACTTGACTTTATTGCTGTGGATAGGGGTGGTTGTGTTATACAGGAACATTTGACATTTGGCATAGCTGGTCAGTTGATGACAAAGATGATCGCGTGAAGTTCCAAAGATCAAAATCACTGTTATAATCGTGTGTGGAATTGTCGGCCTCAGCCCTGTTGGAGGCTGATGATGCTGACGACGACGATCGTAGTTGCTGTAATTGCAGAAATTGATCAGCAGGTGGCGTCGGCAAACAAAAAGCCACGGTTGTTGGGTCGTCATGCAAGCAGGTGGTGGTGAGCTGCTTAGATGTGATCTCGCTTTGGTCGTTGAGTTGTGAGGCAACAAGTCGATCAAGGGCTGCCCAGTCGTTGAGGCCGCTTTCTATGTTATAAACAATGCTGGGATCAGCAGCACCGCCCAACTGGTTGATTGCAGAATTATCATTAATATCTGTGAACATGTGTGCATTGATTGGTTGGTAAGTGCTTTGGCTACGCGTTGATTTTGGGCTCTCTAGGTTGGGAAGTTTCATGAACCTCATGTCATGATGGAGGGGACCATTGTCAAGTGTCCTCAGAATTCTTGTGTCGCTATTTGCTTCATTTTTCTCCTTGCAATTCCTTCCCATATACTGAAATATTTGCTCCAATGTCCCTTCATCACTTGGACTGAGCCTTTGGCTTCTCGTTTCTGCTGCTATAGATGAAACACTGATGGGGCTGTCTAGGGTTTTATGGTGATTCTTCTTCTTGAAGATACGACAAACGACCCAACCTTCTTCCTGCGTACTCTCTCCCATAACCATTGCATTGGTGGCCTATATACAAGGCAGGTAACACTTTATTACATTCCGAATCATAAAGTTTACTAAAGAATGAAAACAAACTCGACTTACATTGTAATTGGTATCACTGGTGCTGTCGTCAAGTCTATATTCATGCATGATCCAATCAGACTTTTGGCCGTGAGGGGCCCGACCTTTGTAGAACACCAGAGTCTTCCTCATTCCAATCCTTTTGGAGTGACTATGGATCACCTTATCACGGCCGGTGGCCTTCCAAAACCCAGCAGCAGTTGCACGATTTGTTCTTGTGCCCGTTGGGTACTTCTTGTCTTTGTGGCTGAAGAAGTACCAATCATTTTGTGGGGTGGATCCTATTTTGCATTTCTCTGATAAAAAAAGACCCAAGTCCCAAAAAAAAACAAAAAGTTGTAAGCATTACAAAAAGAAAATTGCTATTTGGACATTATTTGGTGACTTTATTTAGGGATTTAATGATGCACAACCATTGGATTGGTTGTGTGTTCAATCTAATATTGAAACTTACAACTAATTCAATGGTTGTATTGAAGCCACATTATTAGATCCCTATAGCATTGCCCTTAAAAAAATGTACAGAAATTGGTTGATTTAGATAGATTGAAAAGAAGAAATTTTATGAAGATGATAAGTACGCATGAGATGCCCAATTAACCTTGTATATCCCATGGCTCCAGCTTATTGAGATCAACATCATGGATTACATCCAAGTCAATCTTCTCGTATGAAACTTTCTTCCTCAAGTAGTACTGCAAGAGCTCCTCTTCTGTTGGATGAAATCTGAATCCAGGTGGGACTTGAGACTGTCCATTTAAAGAGATACTCATGTTATCTGGCATATGGATCGATGATCAAATTATCAAACAAAATGAATAGAGATTCTTGCTTTCCAAAGTATTCTTATAATTCGGAGAAGCCAACATGATGCATCCCATCATGAGGAAGAGAAAGAAGAGATAATAAGTTGGTGCAAACAATGTAAAGGGTGATTATTTATATGTGTGTTGAAGAACACTAAACATAATCGCACACATGCAAATAAAGGCTTTATTTTCCAGGGTCATTTTGTGGTGGGCCTAGTTCTACTGTGCTTCGAGAAGAACCACCTACCTGCAAAGATGGAGAAAGGTTATTGTTGTGGCCCTGAAATGGGTGGAATGTGTGGGTTCCACATAGACGTTGTGGGTAACAAGATTATAGAGGGCATGCCTCCATCGTTACTACGACCCTCGACCTTAAAATATCCTTTCAGAAAAGTACTTCCATAACCACCTCTCTGTCTCTCTCTCTCCAAACTTTTGCAACCACCGCAATAAGAAAAAGATGAGGTTTTACCCTAACTCATGGGGATTTTAAATTTTATACTCAAATGAGGGTAGTTTTCACAATAATTTTCAAACCCATGCCTNTCGTTACTACGACCCTCGACCTTAAAATATCCTTTCAGAAAAGTACTTCCATAACCACCTCTCTCTCTCTCTCTCTCTCTCCAAACTTTTGCAACCACCGCAATAAGAAAAAGATGAGGTTTTACCCTAACTCATGGAGATTTTAAATTTTACACTCAAATGAGGGTAGTTTTCACAATAATTTTCAAACCCATGCCTTTTTAAAAACGTTAGTTGAAATGACTTTTTTAGTGTAAAAATGTCAGACCAACTAACAATTTCTTTTGTAAAACACAACCATGTAATATGCCTAAAAATGTCAGTTGGACCGACGTTTTCTTAAAAACGTTGGTCCAAGTAACGTTTTCATTGAAAACGTCAGTTCAACTGACATTATTAAGTGTCCAAAATTTTGATTGATGAGTAAAAAATAAAGGATTTTGCTTAGTAAAAAATAAAAAGNCAGACCAACTAACAATTTCTTTTGTAAAACACAACCATGTAATATGCCTAAAAATGTCAGTTGGACCGACGTTTTCTTAAAAACGTTGGTCCAAGTAACGTTTTCATTGAAAACGTCAGTTCAACTGACATTATCAAGTGTCCAAAATTTTGATTGATGAGTAAAAAATAAAGGATTTTGCTTAGTAAAAAATAAAAAAGAATAATCAAATTGAGTTCTTGGATTTACCTCGGTCAGTTTATGGGCCAATAAAGATTTTTATCTTCGAAACTCATTGGAAGGGGCAGTGCATGAGAAATCATACAGAAATGATCGACTCTTCGGATGCCAACGTTACTGACTGACGTTTTTAGAGTTTTTTTCCCTCTCTTTTTTATGCNATAATCAAATTGAGTTCTTGGATTTACCTCGGTCAGTTTATGGGCCAATAAAGATTTTTATCTTCGAAACTCATTGGAAGGGGCAGTGCGTGAGAAATCATACAGAAATGATCGACTCTTCGGACGCCAACGTTACTGACTGACGTTTTTAGAGTTTTTTTCCCTCTCTTTTTTATGCGTAAATGTTTAATTTTATTTATTGAAAAAATTAATGATATTGAAAATAAATGAATTTTGATGATCATTTCAAAATACATAAATTTTGAGCATATCAAAATTAAAAAATTAAAAATGTATACATATAATTTATTTTAATTTTATCATATAGTTTTAAACGTATACATATAATAAAAATAAAGTTTCATTTTTAATTTTTATAATGTCGACAATAATGTTATTAAGCCATATAAAAATAGAAGTTACTCATAACCAAAAAACTGAGCATTTATTTCATAACAAATTGTAGTAAAACTGTTAGGGTAAAAAAAGGTAGTTAATAACGTGCTTGATGTTTAAAACAACATAAATGATTATTGAGTACACATAAACTTGGTGGGATAAAAGTGTCAGACACATCATCGTCCAGATCAGAGAAATCAGAAAGTTCAGGATCGAAAACAAGTACCAGATCCTTTAAAATTTCTATTTCAACATATTCAGGATCAAAATGCTCTGTTTTGACATAATCGATTGCATGGAATCGATCAAGACGACGTTGCATTTGATCATTTTCACGTTCAAGCGATGATATAATTTCGTCATGATTGTTTGAATTCTGTAGATTGTAAATATAAGTCGAACGTGCCTTTGATACCGCAAGTCCATGCCAACGATAAAATACTTCAAGGTCACAATGTTTGTCATATAACTGTCGTCATCTTAGTGTGAGTTCAATATGAGCACCTGAAGGTAGATAGTTAGTAACAGATCCAACAAATACATGTCCAGTTTTACCGAATGGGTAATAAAGGTCGATGGGCTCATTGCGGAATGCATGTTTTCGTCTATACCATGTTACACCACTGGAATCAGTATATGATCCAATAGAAGGAACTTTCTTCAGCAATGTTATTCTGTCAGTTGAGCGTTCGCCTTTGTTAGCCGAAGATAAACTATTTTGGTCATTGCATGAAGAAGAACCTTCATCGCTGTATTGTGTATGTGATGTGCACATATACATTTTGTTTGGTGGTGGTGCATTTACACAATTGTGAATGCAGCGAAAGGACTTCACACTGGAAAATTCAGAACTGATTTGACAATGACAAGATGTGACAATGAAAAAGTTGTGATATGACAAAACACTGAATAGATTGATAAAGTTATGATATTGATTAACACCAAATAGGATGTAGACATAAACGTTATATGCTTAATAAGTTGGACACTAATTACATTTGTTAATTTTCATCAGACATATACTCATCTGATATGTATTGTTCATTAGACAATACAGTAAATCGCTCCATATCTATCAACTCCCTGCCAAATACAGTTGCCACCATGTTAGTTGTTATTTGGAGCATATTATATCGACACTTATGCAACATCATTCTATTATTTTCATTTCGTACACGTTTAACTGTTACTTTATAGTTCACTCAATTTCTTTATGACATGATAAGTGAAACTCTATGTGACACTTGTATACCAAGTTCTCTTAGATCTGTGCATAATGAGTGTGATTCATTAGCATAAAAAGCCACTCTCGTCGGAATTCAGTATAATACTCTTTTGGATCAGAAAATCTCTCACTCTTGTAATTATGATATCGCTCTTGTAATAACCAAACTGGTTGATGGCTACGGCTATTATCGCCAGCTTGTGGTCTTGTGTAGACATAATGTGCAATACATGTGTTATGAACCACCCCATATTGTGTTTTTATAGTAGTTTCATTATCTTAAATGCTGCAGTATGCAGTCACTTATTTTGTCGTATAAGCACATTTGTCAGCATTGCAGTAATGTGTAATCATCTTTTTATTTGAGTTGATCGTCAAACATTGAAAAAAGTGTGCAGTCAGTGTGACTACACACTGTTATCCGTCAGCGTAACAATACACTGGTACATATCAATGTGACCACACACTGAGACGACTAATCTACACTACTTCTAAATGTACACATCTTAAAAAAACTTTTGGTTCACCTTTTTAACCTCTAACATTTCTTAAATATCTAAACTATCATACACCAAAATAAATATACTATAAATGCTATTCATTATACAACTACATCTAATCTAATCTCCCTTTCATATTCCATACTTTTCCTGTTAAGAAATTAAAAGTCGAGGACTTTTATCATTCCGAATCGATAGTCTCTTCATATTCCACAGTCTTTCCATCTTACTGGAATGAAATGTTTCCCCATGTTAATTTCTCAACCTTCATCACGTACACCATTAGGTCTACCTCATTAGTAAGAAGCCCAAAAAAAGATCTTTAGAATGTGATGGGACTTTAGGCGACTCAGTAGACCCCATACTAAGACATGTAAAAAGGTAGCCGTTATGAAGCTCAAAAGACGCTGAGGAGTGGCCCCAAGCACTTATCAAGTACCGATCAGAGGAACTCGAGTGCTCGGGGATAGTCATAAGTTCTCGACATGGCCATGAGCACTTATCCTATCATCCTAGCATTAAAGATACGAAGATCTGAGTGAAAAACACTCATTGCGCGTGGGTAAGAGTGTCAGACATTAAATGTTCAAATGACACTTTAGGCCTTGTACTCATTACTAATCCAGGTATAAATACTACTCAGAAAAAACCTAAAAGTATGCAAGACTAAACTGAGATAAACTACACAATGTGCTCAAGCCTCTAATTTGATACTGACTTAAGTTTCGGAAGAGATAAGCTGGGTGTTCACCCGACCCCTTTTCTAACCCTGTGGTTATTTTAGGTTCACCATAAAAAAGATCACTATCTCAATTTGTTACAAAAAATCTCCCGTGCAATTTGGCGCCGTCGGTGAGAATCGGTACACAAACGTTTCCCCGTAGCGGTTATATCATGTTGAACACACGATCTCAAGGTGAAGGGGGAGGAAGTTTGCACGTGAGAAACACGAAGGCTACCTGACTCCCAGTAGTTACGGAATTAGGCCCCTTGGGCCAGTCAGGTAGAAGGGAGCATTCCTCGTAACAAACGTTCCCCGTGGATCAAGGCTTTGGGGGGCAAGGCCTTTTGGCTCGTGATATCGTTGAGTTGGTTGAGAAGCAGATGAACAAGCCCATCAAGCAACTTGAGAAGGAAAACGCTACAGTACGACGACGGCTCAATGATTTTGAGCAGTTAGGTAATTCTAGTTGGCGAAGTGGTGAACGAGAGAACCGGAGTCTCAGTCAAGGCTGCTCTACAGGTGCAAGGCAAGATGCCCCCATACAGAGCTTGCGCGAGCGCACACCTGAGAGGCATAACCTCGAGGCTAGAGAAAGCCAGCTCCCGAGGAAAGATCAGAGTGGGATTACAAGGCGGGCTTGCCCTGATGAGATCTCCGCCGTGGGATACCAGGAGATGCTGTGGCAGCTGAGTCCCAGGCAGAGTCCATAACAAAGGGGTCAAGAGGAAAGCCCCGAGGGGAATCTTGGGTGCGCCTCAAT